TAAGGGATTGAAAAATGGTTGGGGTGTTAGTGAGGCCAAAAAACATCACTAGGAACCCATAATACCCTTCATGAGTCCTGAAAGCAGTCTTTGGCACATCCTCTCTTTTCATCATGATCTAATGGTACATGACTTCAGATCTTTCTTGGAGAAGATAATTGCCCCACTCAACTCATCCAACAGCTCATCTATCATTGGAATAGAAAACTTATCTGGCATCATTTCCTTATTCACTGTCCTGTAGTCTACACAAAACCTCCAACTCCTTTCTTTCAAACCAGTAACACTGGCTAGAAAAATAACTAATATTGGGTCTGATGATCCCTGCTTCCAACATCTCTCTAATAAACCTTTCAATCTTATCCTTCTAAAATTAAAGATAGCGGTAGGGCCTGACGCTGATGGGTGGCATCCCTTTCTTCAATGTGAAAGCATGCTCATGCTCTCTTGGTGATGACAATCCTTTGGTTGAACCTCACTGAACTATTGAATCAATGGTTGTACTGAAAGAGGAACCTCCCCTCCCTCCTCCAGCCTGATCCCCTCCAACCTGTGTAGTTCCATCAGATAACCTTGCCCCGCCTCCTATATGCTCCTCACTATGGTCTTAAGTGAAGCCATGGCTTTGGAGAGCCCTACACCTATTATCACTACTTTTTCCCCTCCACCACTAGCTCCATCATCAATCCCCCATAGTTAACCTTGGTGTCTCCCAAGGTCTACAGCCACTTCATCCACAAGATGACATTAGCACTCCCTAACTCTAATGGGAGGAAATCATCCATCACATGAACCACTTGTATAGTCTACACTATCTCTCTACAGATCCCTTGGCCCATCTCTACCTTCCAAATACCCATCATTACTCCATAACGTCTTGTATCCACCAATTTCACCCCTAATTGGTTCACAACCTAGTTGGAGATGAAATTGTGGGTAGCCCCACTGTCAATCAACACTACAACCTCCATGTCTGATAATTCCCCTTTAACTTTCATGATATGATTCGGTGTGAATCCTACCACTGAGTTCATGGATACCTCCGCCACATCCAGGTGCAGCTTGTCCATCTCTCCCTCTAACTATCCCTCAGTTTCCTCGCTATTATAGATGGTGAGAACCTGAAGAGTTCGATCCCTACACCTGTGCCCTAGAAAATACATCTCATCACACCTGAAGCATAATTCATTCACCCTCTTCTCCTACATCTCCCTCTCCATCAATCTTTTAAAATTTCCCCCACTCCCTCCTACTAACTTCTCCATGGTAGTCTCACGAAAACCACCTGTTGCAAGACCCTTGGGTGCTATAAGAGTGGTAGTCATCCTATAAGAGCCACCTGAACTGCTGCTCATGGCTCCCCTCTCTAGATATCTCTGATCTTCCACCAACTATGCCAACTTCATGGCCTCTCCCAAGTCACGAGGCCTCATGACCCTTCACCACAGCTCTAATCTCGGATTTCAGCCAATCAGCCCCTTCATGAAGTTTCCCTCCAACACAATCTCTGATAATCGCTCCATCCGACTGGCCAAGTGCTCAAATCTCTAATGATAGTCTGCCATTTATCCGTCTTGTACTGGTGCAAAGAACTGCTCATATAAGTCCCCTCCTCTACTGGTTCGGAAACATTCCAATAAGCATTCCTTGAATTCCTTCCAACTTCATATGGGTTTCCTCTGATCCCTCCACTGATACAGACAACGTCTTCCTCTCCAAACATAAACCTGCTACAATCAACTTTTCCACCTCCAACATCTCATTGACGGTGAAATACCTCTCCACCTTGTAGATCAACCCGTGTGCATCCTCCCCTTCAAAGATGGGCATCTTCAACTTCCTCACCTTCGAATCTCCCCCATTTTCAAGTATTCCTCCGTAATTTTCCCTTTTCACGAGTACTTGGCTCCCCCCAAGTCTCACAATCTTCCCTCCTAAGCTCATACCCAAACCTCTCTTCACTTTCTCCCCTCTTTTATTCAAAATCAGCACCCGTCCTACCATACTCCCCTTCTTTTCTCTCCCAACTAACACCCCTTGATTCATACCCCTCTAACCATACCTATCTCCAAACCTTCCACCTCTCTCCTCCATGATTTCCACCTCATTGTCCCTCCTACGAAATTCAAAATTTGTCGTTGTCCTTGCTGTTCCTTCTTCCTCTGATGCTGCCGTTTGAATTTGATTTTCCAATAACTTCTTCACCATCTCATGAAGATCGCAAACATTGTCTTCCACAGATGCAACCTTATATTCTACGGATGAAATTCAGTCTTCCATCATTGCTTTTATTTGGCTCATCTCCCCTTCAAGTATCTCCTCCAGCACATCCACTTTCTTAGCAACCATCAATCCCCGGATTTTTTAATTCAAATTCAAAAATATGGATTTCACCCTAAAAGCAGAAATTTCCTCCTTTACCGGCCCAAAAACAACCACTGAAGTTCACCAAAAATAGCCCACCAACGGTCCCAAGATCGCTCTAATACCAATTTGTTAGGAAATACTTAAAGATTTCAAGTAAACCCTAATAAGAGAGATGAAAACAGCAAATCGCTCCCCGAATTCAATGAGAAAATCAACAAAAAGCAATGTTTATTGATGAAAACAAAACTAAAGGAAGAAACAAAGTGAGATACAATTGATCCTCAATTCGAGAGAAGGATCGTTCTCTCCCAATCCCTAGACGAATCTAGGGCCCAAGACACTAAGAACAAGAACTCCAAAATAAGCCACAAAACAAAGCATAATCTAACCCTAAACAACTCTTACTATTTAATACACTAGTTCTCTAATTTCAAACTCTTAATTCCAAATTTCCCCCCCAAACCTAGCTGCTCCCCTCTCATTCCCTAATTAATTGCCTAGTGGGGTCCACTAGCTTGGGCGGCAAAGCAAAAGGGAGGCGGTTTTGTCCGCTTCCTATAAACAAGAACCGGCCTAACATAAACCCTTCAAATTATGTTTTAACCCTCTTCAATAGCGTTAAATCATAGTTTGAATCATATTCGAATAAGGCTTGAACCATGCATTAAACCTAGTTGAACCATATTCAACTATAGCTCAAAACCAAACCTAACCATCAACAACCCAAATTGCTCTCTTAATTCCTTGGTAGTTTTCTCAAAACCTATGAGATTTTAGTCAAATCAACTTTAGCTCAAAACCAAACCTAACCATCAACCCAAATTGCACTCTTAATTCCTTAATAGTTTCCTCAAAACGTTATGCCAAACATAATCGAATCGTCAAATGAATCTTGATTTTACAAAGCATGAACCAGCAATCTCCTTCATTTCAAATCTCATAGCCATTGTACTTCACAACCTCATTGTAATACTAGTTCGATGTAATGACGACCCCAAAACTTAATGTGAAAGCTTACCAAGAGCTAGTAGGAAGCGCCATAAATCAAAAACACAATAAGATCAATAACACAAACTACAAAAGCGACTAAGAGTGGTTTGACTTCACCAAGCCTATCCCTGAAAAAGAGTGCAAGGGATATGATCCACTATAACATTCACGCTATAAATTTAGAGCACTAAATGAAGAATCACAAGCCATTCCCATATCCAAAGTCCAGCAATGCTCAACAAAGAAGATTAAAGACACTCGCAAATACTAGATGCTCATCTCTCACTAAGATATCAACGCCAAGACAAAGCCATTAAGAACATTTGTTGAAATCGCTTGTCATTATTGTAATTCTATTGTCATCAGTCAAAGAGAGAAGCCAAATAAAGATGACTTCTACTCCAAAATACTTTAAAAAAAAACTCTAATTGAGAGGGTATGTCTTGATCATGAAAATGTTTGAGGATATGCCATGAAAAACACCAAATCTTAGCTTACAACCCTAAAAAACATCTTCATATAGCTGCAAGGACTTGCACATAAATTAAGGAGAGTGCAACCTAAGCCCTCATCCTTAGAAGGTTGTATGAACCTACATGTAATTGAGAAGGGCTTAGTACAGGTATGCAAAATGAGCCGTCCAATGGATGTCATTCGATCCAAGGCGGATAGAACAATGATTCCAAGGCACATTTCCAATTTTCAATTTACGAGAAAGAATCAATGTCTTGTTATTTTTCTAGACTCAATTAGAAATATTTGGGGTGTCTTTAAAATATATTGAGTCTATTAACTATTTGCATAAAAGCTTAACTAGTGATGTACATTCACTTGGCCAATCAACAGAATTTGAAATATAAATTCACCTGGCCAATCAAAATAATTTACTTCACGTGTTCAACCTTAAGTGGAGATAATAATTTGTTATGTTAAATTTTAAATGACCTATACGGGAGGCCAATTCTATTTTATCAGGCTAGTACCAACTGGCTTTGACTGATATTGTTCCCAATGGCCATATTAAAGCGAAGTAAAAGGATAAAAAAAGTACATGGCAAAGAAGTGCATAATATCGAGATCAATATACATAACTGCTTATATAGCAACCTAACTAGGAATGGAAATTATGTAGTGAGGAACTCCAATGGATAGGGAGGAGGGAGTAGAGTTCTTTAAATAAAATAAAAGGGATAAATACATGTAAATGATTTTTTTTTTAACAAAACTTTCATCCAAATACTTCTATTTATAATAAGACCATAATCGTGAAGTGCACAACAAATCTATCAACTTTCTTCTCAATGATTTATTAAATGCTCAATAATTAGGGTATATCACATGTAAATACTTAAACATTTTGGTGATTTTTTGTAAATAAAAAATATTTTGATGATACACGTGTAAATATCCCAAAATGAAATTTATTGACAAAATTTTTTAAACTTATAAAATATAAACAAACAATAGTGCAGAAGAAATTTTGAGATAAGGAAAGAAAATATAAGCATGTTCATTCTAACAAAAGAGATCGGAGAACTTAAATATTTACAAGATCCTCAACTTTAATACTGTAATGGAAATCGCAATACAAGTTTCTTTGTTCAGTTCATACCTCCTTAAAAAAAACGTTCTTAAATTCATACCTTTCCTCCTCCACCGTGTGTAGGCTTTATCAAAATGGGATAGCCAATTTTTTCAGCTTCTGCTTTCAAGAAATCAATATCTTGTCGGTCACCATGATAACCAGGCACAAGTGGTACACCAGCTGCACCCATGATTCGCTTTGATGCACTAACAGTGAGATGGCATGAAAAGTAGCATAGTAATGTGTATCATCCTCATCAGAACAAATTAATGACATGAGAAAGAAGAAAAAATAACATCATATAATTACTCTAGAATTAGTACCTCTTGTCACCCATTTCACGAATGGCAGATGCTGGAGGACCTATAAAGTTAAGTTCCTCAGCTTCACAAAGCTGGGCAAAGTCAGCACTCTCTGAAAGAAAACCATATCCGGGGTGTATAGCCTGCAGAGTGTACTGTGATCATGAAAAAAAAACCACAATTCCTGCATAAAACATTATCGACCCAGTACTTTGAGATTTGTATCTCAGTAGGCAGTCTATAGTTGCCTCAGCCAGAGTACTTATATAATATATAAACGAAGCCTAGCCTGGATAGTAAAATCATTCATGACACTTAAAAAAAAGATACATTTAATGAATTGGTAGACCGAACCATATTTTAAAAATTGCTACAGAAAATATAAAATACTTGAAACAAGGTCAAGGAGTAATTCATTGCTCATATCTTATTTGTTTCCTTTTATGATCATCACATTCGTGCCTATTATATGTTATTGATGGTTTATCATACTCTTTCCATGCATTTGCCTTGTCCATGACATTTGTGTTTATTCTCAGGGCATATCTGAAAGCGCTACAAAATCTTTTATGAAAATAAACTATGGATATAAGATGGGTGCTCTATTCAATCATCATATAAGGGATTTTATTGTTCCACCTCTAAAACTAAAAGCAGTTATCTTTTGACATGTGTTCACTATTAAATTTCATCCTAATGGATAGAACAATTGCCACAAAACACGATCGATTGCAAAAGATTTCACACAAGTCTCAAAGAATAACAATTTTGATATCTTGTCCTCAATTGCTTAACTAAACTCGATCAGAATCCTTTTATTATGGCCATCAATCAAGGATGGACTATGCTCTATAAATGGAAATAAGCATTTCTGTACGGCAAGCTAACTAAGAGATCATCTAAAGAAGCCTCCTGGATACATTGCTTAAGAGGAGAAATGCATAAACCTAACCAGCAAGGCTATCCATGATAGTAAATAGACTCCACAAGCTTATTTAGAAAAAATTTTGCAAGCCCCGGTTCAGATTGGTTGGCAAGTTAGCACTAAAAATCATCCTATCAATATACTTGTTATTTATATTGATGACATCTTGCTCACTAAAAATGCTCATGATAGCATCTTTGAGGTTAAACATTACTTGAAGTGTTTTGTAACCAAATACAAGGCAATGCCAATGTACTTTTTTAGAATTGAATTTGCTTACAAGAAAAAGAATACTATTATGTTGAAAAAAATGTGCTACTACTCTTTTTGGAAAAATTGATCTTCTTAATTGCAAAAAGTCAGCTAATATCGAGACTCAAACCACATTTGAGAACAAAGAGCTAATCAATGATCATTCTCATTATTGAACCATAATTGATAAATTGATTTATTTGACAATTATCATGCCTAAAACCAGTACATACAAACTCTAAAACAGAACAATTGCAAGGTTGCTCTAGAAATTCTTGCAACTGTGCTACAATTAAGTGCATTAAAAAAAACTCTTGGAAAAACGTTTCTATATACAAAAGTTGAACATTTGAATATAGAAGTATTTTTAGATGTTGATTATGTTGGCGCTGTTGAAGATAATAAATCAACATCAAGAAATTATATTTTTGTTGTAGGTAAAATACCCTTCCCCCAACCCAAAAAAAGAAGCAAATTAATATAGCAAATACTAGAGTAAAAGCTGAATACATAACTATGGCTCACTCGGTATGTGAAATGATGAGAGTAAAAAATTTAAAAGGGAGTTTGATTTTCTTGTTTCTCAACTTATGACACGGTAATGTGAAAATTGTGTTGCTATCTATATTGCCAACAATCCAACTCTTTTCATGAGCAAACTAAATGTATTTAAGTTGATTAAGAATTTTCTATGGAATCTTGTGTTTTCAAAAAATATCATTACTTTTTATATTTTCAAGACCTGGATCATTTATTATTCTGTCATTTATATAAGAAGCTGGAGCTAACATATAATATATGCTTCGCCATGAGGGGAGTATTGGCGTATGATATGTATTAAGAAGTGTCATGTTAGGAAGAGCTAATCCGAATAAGATGCTTTTATGTCACCATGACTTTGAATATTCTCCCCTTTTTTTGTTTCCATATGCGTACATCATGTATGCCTATAAATAGACTATATATTCAATCATGTTGCAAAATAGATTCTCCAACCCTAATAGTGATAACCAACTATCATGTTCCAAAGAAGATTGGCAGTGACATAATCATCAAATCATTATTCTTTACCGAATGGTTTGATTGGATGACACTGTAATATTCTTTTGCAATAGTTACTCTTTTTTAGATAGTCAATATGAAACAACCAAAAGCACATCCTCAAAAGCTTTCCTCCAACTTTTCTGATGAGCACATCCGACCATGAAAGTTTATCAGAGGAGTCGAAGATCAACGGCCATGATTGTTCCACTTTATTTTGAGTGAATAGTTGTATTTTGATTTATTTATGCAAATTTTCCATTTTTACCCTCACTTGAGGAAGTAGGCCTATGTGACCCCTGAGGGCACTTTTGTTATTTGTCTTATTATTGTATTTTGGCTATTTATAGTCCCTCTTCTTTTGAGGGAATGGATGATTATTAAGAAATAAAATTATGCACTCTTGTTCTTAAAAGCTTTGAGAGTTGTTATGAGAGTTGAAGTCCCTGGGTGAGGAAAATGTACTACCCACCAGCCGTAGGAAATGTCCAGGCTCGTGGTTTGAAGTCCCTAGGTGAGGACAAAGCATTATTCATCAGCCACAGGAAGCATCCGGGCTCGTGGTTTATCTTATCTGCCACTTCCCCTCCTTTCTTCCTAGCCGCCGACCCCCCCCCCAATACTCCCCTCCTCTCTCCTTTAATTAGGAGCCCAATTAAAGCTTCCCCAATTAAGCCATCAATTCCTCAATTACCTCCACCCTTTTGGCTGAAATTAATTTCATAAATTTTGAATTTGCTTACCTCCCAATTCAAAATCAAAATTTTCAAATCAGATTTTAAATTCTTTAAAATATGAAATTATTTCCCTAAAATAGATGAGTTAAATTAGAAAAGGCCCCACCATTCAAATTAATTTAAATTTTGAAAAAAAGATACTCTAAACCTCCTTTCCTAATTTAAATTTTCAAACTTAGCAACCCCTCTTAAGGCCCACCCTCCCTCTCTCCTTTAATTGGAGAAGACTCAAATTTAAACTTTTCCATCCTCTCCAAACGTTAAAATCTAAAATTAAATTTCAGATTTGAATTATCCAGCCATGGCTAGCTTGGTTCTACATCATTTGCACTAATCGGTAGATGTAATGTAGATAGAATAAAAGTATTTCACTTATGTATTTGTTATTCAAGGTTATTTATGGTTACAAATTATACACAAGAACCACTTTAAGAGCTATAGTTCAACTTGCACATAAATTTATCATCTACCAGCTTGCAGCACATATACAACAACAACAACATCAAGCCTTTATCCCACATATGTGCAAACAAAAACAAAAAAGCACTGAGACTTCAACGATTTCAATTTAAAATCATTAAAAGCATATAAAACTAATAAACTATCATTCCTAAGCCTAAATGGCAATGCAAAGACTATCATCATCATTATTCCGGATTGGCTTTATGAATCATCTTACTTCATTCTGTTGATTTGTATACAAAAGCAAAAAATGGGGATTTAGAGTACCTGTTTGGCATCCGGCCACGAACCAGACATGCCGACGACGTGCTCCAACCTGTCTTCCTGCACGATGCCTCATCGTTAAGGCAAAGACAAGGGAAGGACTTCGGTCATTCGTTCTTCCCTTGTTCGCGAAATCTCTTGCTCTCGCACGAACCTCCTACGCAAGCCATCAAGCATCTCGTGCCTCTCAATCCTCTCTAACTCACCTGCAAGCCAATCCGACTGAACCCCCTACAATAGGTTAAATTTTTCTAATTTTTTTATTATAGTTAATTATTATTAGTTATATTTAATTATTATTAATTACAATTAACTATAGTTAATTATAATAAATAATTAATTATAATTAATCATTGTTAATTATAATTAATTATTATTACTTTTTTAACTATGGTTAACTATTGTTAATTATAATTAACTATTATTAATTATAACTAATTTTTTAATTATCATTAATTATAATTAATGGAGTTTAATTATAATCAATTCTTATTAATTATAATTAATTATCGTTGCTTATAATTAATTGTCAAAAGAGGAAAAAAAAAAGGGGGGGAGAAATTGGTGCCTCAATCTGCATGCTAACACTGCCAATACAATAAAGTAGTCCATCCTTACCTACTACACAACCACCCAACTCACCTGGCACCTTCCCACCAAACCAATCTCCATAGCAAGCAACTCCACCTATTTTACAGTTGACACCCATCCACCACCAAATGATCAAAAATTAAAAGTGGCCACCTCCAACCAAAGCAAACATTCAACCTCTCCCATACCACAATCATGCATTATCCAACCAACTGCTCCTTAGCTATTCGATATCCTAATTAACGCAAGGCCATGTCAAAAGAGTTCCTTATCCTCCAACCAACTGCCTCCTTATCTATTTGATGTCCTAATGAAAACGTCTACATTGCTCAATTGCAAGGCTTCCGAGACCCTCAAATTCCAAACCACATTTTCCTCCTCAAAAAGGCCATGTGCAATCTCAAACAAGCTCCTAGACAATGGCTTGTCATGCTCACAAGGCTAGTTCAATAGATTCTTCTCTGATGTTCTACAAATACAAAACCACCACATATTTATACTGTAATTTAGGTTCATAACCAGCTTATCATAGGAACAAATGCCAAAGTCATCGTTAACTTCCTCAACACACTACGAAATGCATTTCATACGTTCCATCTTGGATAGTTTTCCTATTTCCCTGGAATGCAAGCTCACTTCACAACCCAAGGTATCCATTTAAGCCAAACCAAATACCTACTTGGCATACTTCATCGCGCAAGAAGCCCATCTCCAATCATTTGCCACCAAAATTTCCTCAACAACGACCTATCAAGCTGTCTACCTAAACGCCACTTGGTCAGATCTCTCCAGTACCTAACAATAATCTGCTAGGACGTCACATTTATAGTGAACGCCTATGACAGCATCTGCACAAGCCACTAAACCTTCACTTTCAGCAACTTGAATGCCTACTCCCAAACCTTAAAGGGAGCCTATATTATGGCATACCCATTTCTCCAAGATAGCGCCAACTAAGTGCCAATTCTAACTCCAACTATGCAGGAGAACAAGACGATGGCAAATCTACCAAGGAATAATGTGCCTTCTTAAGCACCACTCTTCTTGGTGCACCAAGAAATAATCCGTTGTAACAAGATCTTCTATAAGGTTGAATACAAGACTCTCGCATGATCTGGGTTGGACCTTTCCTCCTTCAAATCTCTAATCTTCCTTCCTTAATTAAGGAAAAGTCAGCTAATATTTCACAGCACCAAACAGATGACTACATTCCGCTTCCAACTTGACGCTGTTAAACCAAGCGATAACCCATACATTTGCATAGCTAACTTGTCTGATTTATATAACCTATCCTCGCTCCTGCTTCGAAATTAAGGCCTACTTATCGCCAAATAAAAACGCATAAGTTTAATCACTTGCGACATTTCTCTTAGCACAAAAGAAAACTAGAGAAGAAAAGATTTAACAACCTGAGCTCCAGTTCGATGTGCGGCCTCAATAATAGCCGATGCATTGAGATAGCTAGAGCGAGCAGGAGGCGGTCCAATACGTATGGCCTCGTCAGCATAATCCACGTGGAGAGCGCCACGGTCAGCGTCGCTAAAGACGGCGACTGTCCGGATTCCAAGCCTCCTCGCCGTCCTCATGATCCGGCAAGCGATTTCCCCACGGTTCGCCACCAATATCTTCTCAATAGTCCTTCCTTCCTTCCCCTCCGGCGATGTCGGCGATGAGGACGCCCATCGCCGTGAAATTGTATGTGTAGGATTTCGGCATGGAGGTCGTTGAAGTGCTGTTCTGCGAAACAAAGAAGACATTAACGCCATTTAGCTTTATCTGAGTGAGACTGTGACTTACCTCCCCAGGCGAGGTGGGAGCAGTCGAACAACTCATATATGGGTAAGATCACTGGTGAAAGGGCGTAGAACACTGATGGGCAAATTTTTTGGCAATGATCTTGTAGGGGTATGGATAAGCTTAATTAGTCAGAGCGGGGCCCATATTTTGTTCATAACGTTGGTCTGCCGGAATAATAAGACAACTCGGCGAGGAGGAAACTAGCGGGGTAGAATGCCTGACAGTTGACAACTCGCGAAGAACTGCAAACCAGCAAGAAGCTAAATTGGCTCTTTGTTTGTTTGCTTATATTAAGTAATCGCTTTTACGCAGATTTTTTTATCTATTAATTGTATTTTTTAACCATCAACTAAAAGATCTTATATTTTAACCATCAACTAAGAAATTATAGATCTGAATGATATATATATATATATATAATTAGGGGAGCTTTTAATTTGAAAAGTTTTCTTATAGTTTTTGTTTTTTTTTTCACTTGAACAAATTTTGATTTTTCCTATAAAAAAAGTTTTCAATTTCTCTAAATATTTTTCATTATTTATTAATTATCATTTAAATGATAAAAATAAAGTGAGAAAATGATAAAAATAAAATGAGAAAAACATACTTATTAAGAGTATATTGTCACCCTCGGAACCAAAAATTCTCACAAATACAATTTGGAAATAAATTTCATGCGGACGATGCCTATCACAAGCACTTTGTAGATCACTAATAGCAAGTTGCAACCTTGAGGAATTACAAGCTCAGCCTTAACAGAAGGAAGAAAATAGAGTTATCATGAATTTCAAATTCATTATATTTATTTTCAGATAGTTTAATATAATTTTTAATTTATTATTTATATAAAACACTTATCTTAACATAAATTAAACAACTTCAACATTCATACTGAATTACTGATACAAAAACTTTCGAAGGGCTAAAGACTCGCACAACTTCTACCGCGGATTTTTATGCGTGGTCAGAAATCTAATAGCAGCTGTGGAAGTATCCTCTCTAAATGTGTGGCTTCAATTTTACCGTTGCCCTCTGCTTCAGCGATTATTGCAGCTCTTTCTACCGCCTCTGTGAAAGAAAGAAAAATCGTTTGCAGTGATAAACTTAATATCAACACAGCCTTTAATAACTCAATAAAATATTAAACAGAACTCTATCTACAGATAGTTCAATCTCACCCGTGACAAAGATGCGAAGAAGCTCGCAGCTAACCGTTAGTGCATTGGAATTAGCTACAAACATCAATAATCTATGGTTAATGACATCAAATAAATGGATATCAAAATTGAAAATACAAAAATAAATAAACTAGAATTCGTAATTTTTGGTTTGTTAAAATTCTCTCATCATCATCATTAGTCATATATCGCAACTATTTGGGGTCAACAGACTGGCGTAATGAATCCTCATTTTTCATTTAGACATGTTAAGCTTTGACTTAGGTGCTAATCCTTTTTTTAGTAAAACATTTCAAACAACTTATGTTCATGAAATCTATAATCTAAACATTTTATCTCATAATTATCTAACATAACTATTGCGTTCTGGAGTATTCGTGGCGGTAGAGAAATATAAAATTTAGTGTCTTAACGTTGTACGAAGATCCGGCACGCATACAGATAAAAAGAGATGGTGTAGCATTTATGAGACACCAAGATTTTTACGTGGAAAACCCCTGATGATAGGAAAAAAACACGGGGCCTAGACCAGTTTGAATGAATCCACTATTATTTGCAGTCGATTACAAATGAGGCCCTTCTTTGGGGAAAGGCCTTAGCTTAATATACATCATATAGAGTACATTACATGGTGGGAATACAAAGAATCAATGTTGATGTGTTCGTTTGGTCGGACGGACTGTAGTCGATGGACTACGTAAGTCAAAAGGACCATAGTCGGCGGGCGACGGAGGTCGGAAGGACAGTAGTCGGTGGGCGATGTAAGTCGGAAGGACCGTAGTCGATGGGCGACGGAGGTCGGAAGGACTGTAGTCGGCGGGCGACGGAGGTCGGAAGGACTGTAGTCGGCGGGCAACGGAGGTCGGAAGGACCATAATCGGCGGGCGATGGAGGTCGGAAGGACAATAGTCGGTGGGCGACGTAAGTCCAAAGAACCATAGTCGGCAGACGACAGAGGTCGGAAGGACTGTAGTCAGTGAGCGACGTAAGTCGGAATGACCGTTGTCTAACAACGGAGATTAGAAGGACGGCGTCAAATAGAAGTTCAGCAATTGATAGAAATCCAACATCGAATAGATGTCCGACGAAAGTCTGAAAACGGGCGGAAGTACGGTCTCGGGTAGAAATCTGGCGATGAGTATAGGTCTGGCGTCGGGTAGAAATCTGAAGTCAGTTGGCGGCCGGGGAGAACTCCGGCGTTTGATGGTGTTCGGCAAAACTCCAGAGTCATGAGATCGAGCAGAGTTTCGGTGTCACTTGGAAGTCGGGCAGAATTCCGACGTCACTTGGAAGTCGGGCAGAATTCCGACGTCACTTGGAAGTCGGGCAGAATTCCAACGTCACTTGAAAGTCGGGCAGAATTCCAACGTCGCTTGAAAGTCGGGAAGAATTTCGACGTCACTTGGAAGTCAGATAAAATTCCGACGTCACGTGAAGTCGGGAAGAATTCCAGCGTCACTTGGAAGTAGTGCAGAACTCCGGCATCACTTGAACGTCGGGCGGAACTCCGGCGGTGGTCAAGGAGGAGTCTCTTCCCTCCTTCCCTTCTTATCTTCTCTTCTCATTCTTCTCTTGCTTGGGTCCCCTTTTATGTGAAATGAGAAGCTATTTATAGTTTTCTGAGGATGACATGGCCAGTAAATAGAAGGATCAAGGGCAAAAGGGGAGTGGTTTGGATGGACGGCCGATATTGAACCCCTTGATTGTGGACCGTTCTTCAGACATTGGAAGGTCTTAATGATATCGAAATTCGACGATCTTGGGCTCGTTGGATTCGTCTCGTCGTGTCTCTCAATTCGACTATAAGCATGTCATATTTGAAAAATGTTTGGTAATCCAAATTGTGGTTTGAATCTTCCAACATCGCTTCGGATCTTCGATTTGGACCCAGTTGGGCTCGAATTGAGTTGAATTTGGTGTCGTTGGGTTCGTATTTCCAAGACGATCAGTTTGACTGTAAGTTTGCTGAAATCAGAGTTCAGATGATCCCAATTTTAATTTTTGAAGTTTCCGACTTGATTTTTGCCTCAAGATTCGTGTCCGATCAAGATACTTTTTTGATGACATATCAGTTTAACTTTTATCAATTTATCTAACAAGAGCATTTTCAACCCTTCATTGCACATCCAGACCACCTAAGTCTATTTTCAGACAGCTTATTCTTAATTGATATTTCTTCAACATTTCCACTAATAATATAAATATATAATCATTTACTTAATTTATCATCGCTAGTTTTATCACACATCCATCTTATTGCGCTCACTTATACACAATCAACTTAATATCAAAAGCTTCTTTATAGCCAACATTACAATCCATACAACATCGCAAGCATCATTACGGTTTGAAAATTTTGACTTTAAACCTCAATGATATGCTCCTATCATCCAGAGCTCTAAAGATATTACTCAGTTTTAACTATCCAATATCAACTATAGATGTTATATCAATATCTATGTCACAATATTTTGTGCAAAAAATCTAAGATATTTAAACCTGATGATATTCCAATAGAATTGTGAAAATATTTAGGAGATCAAGTTATTTCTTCACTTGTTAAACTCTTTAATATTGTTTAGAAGATCAAAAATATGTTAGATGAGTGAAAAAAGAGTGCCTTAATCCCTACTTTTAAGAATAAAGATGAGGTACAAGATTGCAAATTATAGAGGAATTAAGTTAATATATCATACATTAATATTATGAGAGAGGATAATTGAGCATAGGTTACAACGTGATACAAATGTTTCTCAGAATCAATTTGATTTCATGTTGAGTAAGTGTACTATAGAAGCTACACATTTGCTAAGAGGTTTGATGGAGAAGTATAGAAAGACTTAGGAGGATCTCCATATGATATTTATTAATTTAGAGAGATATGATAAATTCACAAGAGAAGTGCTCCGGAGAGTTAATAAAAAAAACTAATAATGCTTCTATTCAAGTCATTAAGGGTACGTACACTTTTTTTTATTATTATTAAGGGCTTAGGGTGCAAATTTAGAGGTGAGGTACAAGAGTGCAAATTATATAGGAACTAAGTTAATATATCATACATTAATATTATGAGAGAGGATAATTGAGCATAGGTTACAACCTGATACAAATGTTTCTCAGAATCAATTTGATTTCAAGTTGAGTAGGTGTACTATAGAAGCTACACATTTGCTAAGAGGTTTGATGGAGAAGTATAGAAAAACTTAGGAGGATCTTCATATGATATTTATTAATTTAGAGAAAGATATGATAAATTCACAAGAGAAGTGCTCCGGAGAGTTACTAAAAAAACTAATAATGCTTCTATTCAAGTCATCAAGGGTACATATATTTTTTTATTATTATTATTAAGGGTGTGTATATATGAGTTGCCACTAGTGTTCAATCAAAAAGTGGTTTGACCAAGTATTTTCCTAGTTCAGCTGTATTACATCAAGAATTAGCTTTAAGCCCATATCCTTTTGTTTTAGTCATGGATGTTCTTACTAGACATTTGCAAGAGGAAGCACCTTGATTTATGTTTTTTTGCTAATGATATTCTTCTTATTAATAAGACTACAAATGGAATTGAAGGAAAAAGGTCAACCTTTCAGTCTAAAGGTTTTAATTAGAGTAGTCTAAAACAAAATAAATAGAATATAATTGTATTAGTAATTGATCTAGTGGTTGGATTGTGACATTTGGTAACCAAGTCATTAAAAAAAGTCGGTGTTTTAGACATATATGGTCTATTGTTCAAAGAGATGGCGCAGTAGATGGAATATTATTAGTAGAATTCAAGTTGGATGGTTAAAGTGGAGGAATACATCATACATGTTATTTGATATAAAGGCACCCCTTAAGCTTAAGGAAAAATTTTATAAGATATATCTAAAATGTTCTATCGCGTAGAATGTTGGCTATTAAAAGAGAAGCGTAAAATTAAGTTAAATGTTGTAAAGACGAGGATGCTCAAGTTGTTGAGTAGCTTTACACTTGGAGATAAAATACAAAATGAGTAAATATGTGAAAAGGTTGGCGTAGCTCCAGTGGAAAATAAGATTAGAGAGAGTCCACCTAGATTGATTGGTCACATAAAACGTCTGCCTTCCGATGACTCTGTTAAAAGAGTAGATGTACTAGATCCATCATATGTTAAAAAAGTAGATGTAGACCTAAAAATACTTGGTCAGAAAGTATTTAAAATAACATTTTATTATATCTAAATAAGAATTTGACTCTTAATAGGACAAAATGGAGAAAAAAGATTAATTCAGCCAATGTCGCTAGTGGTATAAAGGCTTGCTGTTGCTACTGTAATCATGAATATCACCCTATCTTCTAATAAGATTGAAGATGCATCACATGGCACAATCATGTTTTAATGAAGTGATTAAATTACATAATTTAACTAAAACATTATAGCTAATAAAGATGTAAAATTATGAATTATTTTGAAGAATTTGTGAAAGAAAATAGTAATCTAACAAAAATTTTCAATTGTCAATCAACCGCAAATTCATCTACAAACTAAGATTGTTAATAGAAGTGTTAAGGTAATATGTTATGTTGTCTAAAAATGTAACATGCATCCAGTTAGTATTTGATACAATTTATAAATAGCTTGCATACAATTCATCTATTAATAAGTTTGCAGAACAAGTCAACTAGAATTTGTCATAGTACCAAGAAAACCAATAGATGTAGTTGAACTTCTTATTAAGACCAAGTGAACTTGCATAATCGTTTATACAGCATAAACATAATATGCAGGAGTGAAGTGATGCATTGGCCCTAGGCATTTGTCTGTGTAACACAAGCTCACAACATAACGCTTGCATGAAAATTTTTTTTAATCTCACTGATTTTCGCCACTAGCACAAGTAGCTTCTCACTTAGAAAATTCTTCCCGAGAATGCTTCTCGGCAATTCATCTTCACGCACTCTCTTGCTTCACACTACTTTCACCTTTCGGTTTCTAGTTTCACTCAATCCCGCAAATACTCTTGATTATTAAGAAATCTTTCATCACTTCATTATTTTTATCCTTGATTTTTTTTTTCTTTCAAATAGTTGAAATATTACTATTATCAAGCGATGCATTACTCCGCTTCAACCATCCAACTTGAATTCTACTGATAATATCCCCATCTATTTCACCATCACTCTGAACAATAGATCCATGATATCTAAAATGTGTACTCTTATTAATGACTTGGTCGACTAAAGTCACAATCCCCCCCACTAGGTCCATTATTACTAAAATTACACTCCATATATTCAATTTTAAATCTACTCAAGCGAAAACCTTTAAACTCTACGGTTGACCTCCATAATTCAAGTTTACCTTCAACTCCCTCTCTAGTATTATCAACAAGAACAACATCATTAGCAAAAAGCATACACCAAGGTACATCCTTTTGCAAATGTCTAAGATTTTTAGTAAAGCATCAACACATCAATGGGAGCTTCTACAAAAAATTTCAACTCATTTTGATAAGTACAATACAACAATATCAAGCCTATATCCCACTACATGGGGTCGGCTACATGAATGTTTTTCTCCAGTCTGTCTTATTAAAAGTCAAATTCTCATTTAAATCTAATAAAGAAAGGTCATATCTAATATTTTCTAACCAAGGCTTTTTAGGTCAACCACAACCTTTCTTAATATAAGCCAAATCTAATACATTTGCTTTCCTAACTAGGTTATCAAAAGGTCACCGTTTTATGTGACCAAACCATCTAAGGACACTCTCTAATTTTATCTTCCACTGGAGCTACTCTAACCTTTTCACGTATATGCTCATTATTTATCATGTCTCTAAGACTAAAGCCACTCATCCAACTGAGCATCCTCATCTATGCAATACTTAACTTAATATTATGCTTCTCTTTTAATGGTCAACATTCTGCACTATAAAACATTGCAAGTTTCGCCACCATCTTGTATAGTTTTCCCATAAGTTTGAGGGGGGCTTTTATATTACATAACAAGCCCGATGCATTTCTCCACTTCAACCATCCAACTTAAATTCAACTAATAATATCTCCATCTATTTCACCCTCACTCTAAACAATATACCCAATATATCTAAAGCATTTACTCTTGCTAATGACTAGATCCCCCAAAATCACAATCCCCACACTAGAACTATTATTACTAAACTTACACTCCATATATTTGGTTTTAGATCTACTTAAAAAAACCTTTAGACTCTAAGGTTGACCTCCAAAATTCAAATTTACCTTCAACTCTCTCTCTCAATATTCTTATCAAGAAGAAGAATATCATCAATAAAAACCATACACCAGGGTACAACCTCTTGCAAATGTCCAATGAGAACATCCATGACTAAAGCAAAAAGATAAGGGCAATGAGAAGGAAATAAAAGCCTTATAAGAGGGGGAAAAATATCATCTCCAAATTGGATTCATCCAATGATTATAGTTGATATCTCCTAAGAGAAAGATCGGAGCCTCATTACAGGGACAAAAAAAAAACTCTCTTTCAAATTTGATCCATCCAATGACGAAATCTAACATCTTTTTCAAGGAAAAATCAAATCTTGATTGTAGGGACGACAAACCTTGATCGCTCCAAATTCAACTGATGAGAAAATAACACATATTTCAAGGCAATATCAAAGCCACATAGCAGGGACTATAAGCCTTAATCATCTTGGAATTTGGTCAGCCAAATAAGGAAAATTAACACATTTTTAAGAAAATATCGGAGCCTCATCATAGAGACTACAGTTCTTGACCGCTTTGATTGTCGCCCTCCTGCAAATTGTTTTTACACCCATTACTTAGAAAAATCAAATTATGTGCAGGAGAATTGTGCCACATCCCTAACCCCAATAGGATTATTTATTGATATGAGAGGAGCAAAAAGCATGAGAAAAATTTTTTTAATTTATTGGCTATATATCAATTTTGCCATCAAAAAAGCATCATAAAAATTGGTCGGATGCACACTATTCATGCGGGCAAATCGATCCCCCATCTAGGTGCCCAAATTGAAAATTAAAAAAAATAATAAAATAGTAAAAATCGGGTATCATATGCACACCTTTAGCATACATACCTAGAGTGCAAAAAAGCTTTTTGGCACTATTGGCTTTAGGCAGCAATTAGTTGGTTCGGCCCCGTGCATGTTTGAGCCCAATTTTGGACTACGGTCCTTTCGCCACAATTACCCAAGTACAATCATTCGATCATCATGGCCTAGTTATAGTCCTCCAAATATTATCGCCTAACAACGAACCTCCGATCAACATCGCCCAACTACAATTTCCCAACCATCATTGCTCGAATATGGCCTCTCCCAAACACTATCCCCCTATTATGATCCTTTGAACACCATCCTCCGGATATGGTTCTCTAACACCATCGTCTGACTACAATCTTCCAACCACCATCACTCCATTATGGCCCTCCAATCAACGTCACCCAACTACAAAATCATGATCATTATTGTCTGACTACAATCCTCTAACCAGCATCACCCAACCACAGTTTTTCGACCAATGTTGCCCAATACAATTGTCCAACCATCATCACCCAACTACTATCACCCGATCGCTATTGTACGACTAAAGTCTCCCGACTACAACCGTCTGATCACCATCACTAGACTACAATGTCCCGACCACCTTCGTCCAACTACAATCTTCCAACAATCGTCTCTCAACTACGGCCTCCTAACCACGTTCACCAAACTATAATCTCCTTGACCGCTATCGTCCGACAGCAATCCCTTGAACACCAACACTAGCATTTGTCGCCCACCGTCGCCAACAATATTCATGTGCACCATTGTATATAAAGCCAAAGTAACCAACATCAACACCGACACCGTCGCCAACACTAGCTTGCCATCACCAGTAATGTCAACACACGCAATTGCCTAAGGCCAAAAAAATGCCACCGACATAATGGCCCAACACCCACCAACTTTGTCGCCGCCATCGCTACAAACATCAACACTATCAAACTGGTGACAATATATGGCAATAGAATATGATGACATTTTATGTTGGTATTCATCCTGGACTTCAACTTTTACAGTTCAAAACTTCAAATTAAATATTGCTGAGACGTACTAAAGACCTAGTTAGATTTGGTATGACAAAATTCCAGATCTCGGAACAAAGTTACTTATTAGGTATGCCTTGTCAAAACCGGAACCAGCCCTACAGACCAACAAAGTGAACTGACAACCCAGATACGAAGTTACTCCAATGCTCTAGCATAAGAAAACCACGATACCTTTTGTGGTGCATCCTTAAGTGGTCATAGATTGCTCTAAGAAAACTATTTTGTCTGGATTTAGCAGCACAATAACATATCTTAGATTTTCTTCAAAAAAATCGCCAACTTTCTAAGCGAAAAGTTTTTTTTTTTTTTTCCTTTCATCAAACCTCTTCAATTGAGACTTTTGAGACTTTCCATTTGGATAAAACAAGTTCTGTACAAGCATTCCCATGACAATTAAATCCAGCAAAATGCAAGTGGGGCTAAAATGATTGTTCCTGATAACTAATTGACAATTACTTCAATGATCATGCATGGCATACAAGAGCTACCGCAATTTAAATTTGCAATAGCAAACAGTACTTCTAATTACAAATGCGTGCTGCCTCACTTAGATTAGGGCATCAAGTCGATTGCAAATTTGCACAATAAATGTGAAATAATTTCCAAGGCTCAAAAGTAGATAATAAAACAAGCAAAAATGTTCTTCCACGAAGCAATTCTTCAAAAAGGAAAACTCAAAATGGGAGAAATAAAGAAAAAAGGGTTAGTGAAAAGACGCCAAAAGCTAAAACGCAAGGCTAAGTCCATTATATAACTTAAGATTATGTGCTATTTTGACATGACTTTGACTCCATCAGGTTTCAGAATATACATTGATGTTTATCCTCCCAGCATCTATATATATATCCCATAATCGCCAATAAATGACACACCATATCTTTGAAAAAAGCTAATAAGCACAGAAACAATAATCGATGATAAAATAGAAATTACCGTGTAACAATATGCATTCGTATCGATTTAGTTTATTTGTGTCAGCAAAAAGAAATGCATAACCGTTAATTTTGTTTTAAAATAAATTATCCAGGATACATTATTGAAATAAAAAATTAGCTCTAAATGTATTGTAATGATAAGATGTACCAGTAGTTGATCGATTCTTCTTTGATGCTCTTGCAACCTGCCAGGTCAGAGCATAAAAATATTATGTTATTGCATAAAAATAACCAAGCAAGTATTTCCATGAATATGAAAGACAAGGAAAAAAACTTTAACGAAGAAATAAAGAAAATTAGGACTGGTTTAAAATAATTTTCAAACATAAAGTTGGGTGAGGATTTCAAAAAAGTTCCCATCCTAGAAAATTTGAAGTATAGTCATCAATGAAAATGGTGACTTCTGACAGTTTCTCCAGGTTAATCACATAAAAGAAAACTTGATATAAGACAAACAAATTAAAATGGTAAACAGCTAGAAGAAGAATAATGAATTTTTTGGACCCATATGGATTGGGCTTTTATCAAACAGATGAAAGGTCTACATATCATCAAGAAACATCTCCAAGGAACTAATAAAAAATAAAACATGTTGAATATTTGACTCCAGAATAATAATGTTTTATACATGTCTCTTTGCACCAAATCTAGAAGCATTAAGTAGGATCGCAGTACAGTGGAATATTCCCTTCCGGCCTTCCCTTAAGTGATTTTCATGATATCAGAATTTCTGCCTAGACTTTAAAAAAATAAAATTTGTGCCTAGACTTGTGTGGACGTTCAGCTAGTGAAGCTAAAAGCATACAAAAAGTCAAGGGGATTTGCATGAAAGATCTCCTTATGGTAGAAGCATGCCGTGGTTAGAGCGGTGGCATAACTAGAGGTACCCAAGGCAATTGTGGCACAAGTGTGATAATGCCACAAGCAAGGAAGTGGCACGGCTAATATGCAAGGGAGGCTATGGTGTAAGAATTTAAGGAAGAATCAAAGGCACAAGTGGGGTTGTAGTGCAGGCTTTGATGTGGGGATAATTGTGATACGAGTAGGGTTACAATGTAATGCAAATAAAGCTACAACGCAAGTCTTTATGAGGCGATGGTTACAACACGAGTGAGGTAAACCTGAAGGAGCTAGTTATGGCTCAAGCAAGGTAAAAACGCAAGTTTTAATGGAAAACATGCAGTGTAAGCAAGATTGCGGTTGTAGTATTAAAGTGGCAATGAGTGGTGTTCATATAAAGTTACAATGCAAATCTTACTGAGCCAACAGTTGCAACAAAAGCGGGATTGTGACAAAAGTCTTGATGAAGATGGGTGTGGCTTAAGCTTTAGTTACAACGTAGGCCTTAAGAAAAATGACAACAGCCCAAGCAAGGTAACGACACAGGTCCTGCAGGATAAGACTGAGGTGTAATCAATATTGTCATGAAGGTCTTGGATACATGTTTGCAGTGACACAAATTTGGATGTGATTAGAACTGCAACACAAAAGAGAAAGTGGCACAAGCATTAATGGAAACAACTACCATTCAAGCAAAGTTATGATGTAGGCCTTGATGGAGGCGATTGCGGCACAAGTCAGAATGTAGGTCTTACTAAAGATGGTTGCAATGTGAATAAGGTTCAAGTGTGGATCATGTTGCAGCGACAATTAACATACTCATCTTTTTAGAGTGATATCTACAAGAAAAATTTTGGCGCCAATGGCTTGCATGAATTCTCCAAATATTTAGGTAACTTTTAGAATTTCATAGTTATCATACCATAATTGCTACCTTTTTTTAAAACTCCAAATGAACTAAATGAAATGATATTTATAGAATTTAAGGGCATTCTTATATTTAATAATATATCTAGAATAATCCTTGTAGTTATCCAAAAAAATGGTGTCGATATTTAATTAGCATAGCCTTCCATATGGCACAGAATACAGATCATAGCCTTCCATGATTGGAAAATGTCTCTCATACACCAACCCGACTGAAATTCTCGAGCCAAGGCTAATATGTGTGTTGTCGGTGGTCCAACGGCAGTTCCCTACGAAGATATCTTTAATTGAAGACTAGGAGACACACCACATTGTACATCTTGATACTACTAGCTCATTGAAGGTTACGAATTAGAACTTTGGTTTTTAACTTGACAAAAATGCTTTCAAGAATATTATCACTCAAATTTGGAACCACCAAAAATGGTGAGAATATCTCACCACTTTTACATGAATAAGTATGTCTCAGAGAGGATTCATTTACCAAAAGGCTCGTGAAATGAATATTCATTATGACTTCTAGAATTAAAGAAGTCCATAATTGATCTACCCAATAACAAGAGCATATTGATGCAATAGGACATCATTATTGTTTTCGCTCATAAACTACTCACACAAAGAGAAGTACATAATTGAGAATATCTAACCACTGCCTAAATATCAACATGAACTCCCCTCAATGTCATGAAGCAATTGTCACCCCTTGATCATGGTAAAGATAAAGGAGTACCTTTATAGTACTAGACGGTGGCTCCTATAACGGTTGTAATATATATGAAATGAGAAGTTACGAATATTGAAATGAATATAAAATGATATGAATTTATGATTTACATGTATGTTTAATGTTATGTTTATAGAAAGCAAATTTATAATATGTTTAAATGAAATGTGGCATCTAGCATATTATTCATTCTGCCTTGATTACTGTAGTTTAGAATCGTGTTTTACTTACTAAGCATTGGCTTACTGTTAGTTGTTAAATTTTTTAGGTATAATTACTTTAAGCCAAAATGAGTAGAATTGGTGAAATGTATGCTGTATAAGAGGAGCACCTGAAGAAAGGTAATTATATGAATATTAATGATTTTAAGTTTGTGTTCTTGAATTTAATGTTTTTAACAACTCTTTCAAATGTTATGGTGATAGATTTAGAGATTGGTTAGTTTAGTCTACAGTCTGACCTTCGTTTCCGCCTCGCCTATGCGAGCTTACTGGGCCGAGTTGTGACAGCACAACTGTTGTATGAGCAGGCAAAGTAAAGTTGATAATAGAGATGCACAAAGCGATGCACACGTAATACAGACTATAAGTAAATAAATGGTTGTGTTTAAGGGTGGATGAAAAATCAACAATGACAATAACATCAAGCCTTTATCCTAATACATGGGGTCGACTACATGAATCTTTTTTTCTTAATTATGTCCTATGAAAAGTCAAATTATCATTTAAATATGCTAAGAATATATCATTTATAATACTTTTTAACGAAGCCATTTTAGGACTATCACTACCTTTCTTAACATAGGTTTGATAGAATACATCTACTCTCCTAATCAGGGTCATCAGAACGCTAAAGTTTTATTTGACAAAATCATCTAGGGTGACTCTCTCTAATCTTATCAGCCACTAGAGCTACTCCAACCTTTTCACGTATATACTCATTTTGCATTCTATCTCTAAGTGTAAAGTCACTCATCCGCCTGAGCATTCTCATCTCTGCAACACCTAACATAATTTTATGTTTCTCTTTAACTGACCAACATTCTGCACCATAAAACATTGCAGGCCTCACCACCACCTTATAGAATTTTCCCTTAAGTTTGACGGATACTTTTCTATCACAGAACAGAACTGATGCATTCCTCCACTTTAACCATCCAACTAAAATTCTACTAATAATATCCTCATTTATTTCGCTATCACTTTGAATAATAGACTCAAGATATCTAAAATGTGTACTCTTTTTAATGGCTTGAAAGTCCAATATCATAATCCACCACTAGATATATTACTACTTAAATTACACTCCATGTATTCTATTTTAGATCTACTTAAACAAAAACACTTAGACTCTAAGTTTGACTTCCATAATTCAAGTTTTTCTTCAACTCTCTCTCTCTAGGCTTATCAACTAGAAGAATATCATCAGCAAAAAGCATACACCATGGTACATCCTATTGCAAAATGTCAAGTAAAAACAACCATGATTAAAGCAAAAAAGATATGAGTTTAAATATAATCCTCGATGTAATCCAACTAAAATAAAAAAATATGGTGACGACAAATTAAACCTAAAAGTGGTGATAGTGACAAACCTCAATGTAGCAATGGCAGGCAAAAAGTTAGCAATAATGGGTGCCTAAAGACTAAGGTTGTGACAAGCATACGAATCGCAGCGACAACAAGATAAAGTGGCAATGGCAAACCTAAATATTATAACAATGGATGAATAAAGAAAACAAATGTGAGCTACTTGAAATGGATTGAATAACAAAATATTTTTTGCCGGAAAAAATGTGATTTAATGTCCATGAAAGAGAGTTGATGACATTGAGGAAGGTGCCTTAATGCTTGTGGGAGTATTCCATGGATGTGGACCTAATGGTACAACTAATAGTACAATTAATGTTGTCCGATAGATTAAAAAGCATTTACATCACTTGATCTTCGACAAATAATAGCCACACCTTATAAGGGGTGTGCGTGTTGAAAAACAATGCGTACCTTGATCTATCTAAGCATGGTAATGGTAAGAATGTGACTAGAATATTGTCATGAACCCGGTTTCAAGGCAATAGTTGGGATTTCCCTTCTCTTCACACCCCATTTTCATTTGCACATTTATTAGACATGAAGGTTTGCTTATGTGATGTTCCAAAGTTTTAATGACCAAATTGGCAAAAATAATTTCAAGAAGGTTCGTCACTCGAAATTGGACCTACCAAAAAATAATGATAAAGTCTCAACTTTTTTATATAATATGATCGTGTTTTCAAGAAAAGCTTTTTGCCACAAATAGCTTACAAGTAAAATGCACATTGAAATCACAACAATGAAAATTTGAAAATTTCATTAACAATCTACATGGTAATTAATGTGTGCTAACTCAATCAGACAATGAAGGCACAATGCTCGCACTGAGAAGTAGGCAAGAAAATGGTCTAATGACCAACCCACCCCTAACGTCCTCATGACATTCAAGAGCAGTAGGTGAAGTTTAAGCCAACTTGATCTCTGAATCAATAGATTCTTAAGCCTTCCAATGCTTCAAAATTCAAATGATTGTTTTAGTATCGTAGAATTTGTTGCATCAAGCCGGACCTTTTAGCAAGGTCTTTGCATCATTACAAACTCATTTGGCCACCAAATTATTCTTCTTAATAAACTGAGTACTAATTCATACTTTTAAGTAATCTTGAGATTTGTGTGTTGCATAAAATTTGTGCCAAATCAGATTGTGTTTTTATGATCCCACCCATTCTAGCAACACTATCATGGAACAATAAAAATCAAGAATACCAATATAGCACACTTTAAAAAACCCTTGGGAGCTGTGCTCACCTAAAACTTCTCCCAAACTAGGTTCGACCTCAGTATTTTCATCAATTGGGCAACTTCTTAATTAGGAGTACAACTTTCAGCATTTCGAGCACCAATATAGAAAACAATACTACATTACATCTAATGCATCTTCTGCAATAACCCTGGCTAAGCAATTAACTCAGCGCATCTCTATTCCCTCTTGATGTAGTAAATACTCTCCAGCAACCCCTATGACAAAGTGCAGAGCAAACTAAGTCGCCAAATGCATAAATCAGGAACCTTATCAAAGTTGCCGCACCCTAAAAATTTACACCGATCAGTTACTATAACAGATATAATGAATCAATCCGGATCGATTCATCCTTTCAAAAAGAAAAATGATTCTAAGTAAAATCAATTGTCTGGTCCTAATCAAAATCGTACCTCTGTATCGATTGGTTCAGCCTCTTTGCTCTTATCGGGCGTTTTCCTACTCCAAGCAAGTTTGAATATGGAGTAGATTAGGTCCTAATAATTAACACCATAAAAAGGCACCGAAGCTGAGAGATTTCGGAAGTATCTTCTGGAGGGAGGGAAAGAGCGGTAGAGAAGACAAAAGTATGGAGAACTGGTTTAGGGTTTAGGCTTACGCTGTCGAAGGTGTTCTCCATTGGGCGGGAATGACCGAAAAGGAAAGCCGGATTACGATGTCCTCGTCTAATACTATACATATAGGCGGGATAAATAGAAAGGCGGATTACGCTGTACTCGTCTAATTATTATTATTATTATTATTATATATAAACTTTTATTTTAGGCATGCTTTCAAAAAATAATAAATTTTTAATTGTTAAGCATATACTTTTTCAATCATAAGAACTATTTGGCTTGCTAAAAACTAAAAAGCAATAAAGTGTAAAAAAAATTAGTATATTTAAAATGTTTGAAATTATTTGGTGGCGTGTAAAATTAATGTAGGATATTTTTTAGTTTGAAGTAAATTGAATGTAGCTTAAAAAAAAATTATGAATGAGGTAGATTGAGGCTAGTAATAGTTGTGGGCAACGGTGGTGATGAGTAGTTATGGTTGACATTGGTGGTGTTCAGCGGCAGCTGGCACTGGTAGCTATAGGCATCAATTAGCGACAGGAGCTGAAAACAGAGTCAGTTTGTGGTGAAAAGGAATTCGGTCAAAACTTGACTAGTTTACTACAAATCAACAATGAACTATTGAGTTAAAAAATGAATCCACTAAAATTTCACACTATACATTTTTATCAAGCCAATCATTCAATTTTCAAAATCTCATACATTCCTTTTTCTATGCATTTATTTATCAATAAACCAAATAGTCTCTTAGGTTTCATTGGGAATAATTTTTTTACTATTTTATATAGAAACTTTTTATTAAAAGAAATTATTTGAGCTAAAAATTTTTATACTAAAAATTTCTTTTTTAAAAAAAAAGTAGGAAAGCTGTCTCAAACAAAGCCTTGGTCTTATAATATAATTTGATTATAAATTTAAAATATTGTGAATGTTCATTTATCATAATTATTGTGTGCTAGAAAATTCATAAACATAGAAATAAAATATTTATGTCTTAACTTTTCACAAAGATGTAATAAATATGTAATAATAAAGAATGCAATGGACACCAAAAATTTAATGTGAAAAAAGTAGAGGGTTACCAGGCCTTGTGCAGAAAAAATGATATACTCTAGAGGTATGATATAAACATGGGTGACACCAAGTTAAGCTCGGGGATAGGGGTGTCAATTCTAGTTGACGGGTCGGGTTCGAGCCGAACCCGAGCAGACCCGGATACAAATGGATCAACCCGAACCCGACCCATTTTTTGCAAATGGATCGGACATTTCAACCCAGACCTGACCCACTCGGGTTGCCGGGTTGACCCGACCTAACCCGTATTTCATAGATTTGGCAGAACCGTTGAAGCAACGTGAGTCCGAGAGTGCGGCTGTGCGGGATCGCGAGCGCGCTACGAGTGCCAGCGGTAGAGTCCAAGTCCCGAGTGCGGCTGTGAGCAGCAGCGAATGAATCCCGCGAGTGCACAAGTCCCTAGTGCGCCTGTGAGCAGCAGTGAATGAGTCCGCGAGTGCGACTTTGCGGGATCACGAGCACAGGCGAACCGGCGAAGTCCGAGTAGGAGAGTGCAAACTGCGGTAGCGGGCAGAGCCAACGGTTTTAGCAGAGTCGTTCGTGATCTGCGGGATCGCGAGTGCATGGCTGCAGCCTGTAGGCGAAGTCCAGAGTCGCGACACGCGAGAGCACAGCAGCGGAGTCCATGTCCGATATTTCGGTCATTGTCGGGTTAATTTTGGGTTTACGGGTCAACCCGAACCCAACCCATTTTTTAAAAAGGGCCAAAAATTTGAACACAAACCCGACTCGTTTGCTAACCGGGTCAACCCGAACCCGAATTTTTTTGCGTCGTGTCAAAAAATAATATTATTTGCCCTACCCCGCAATCTCAAGCCCACTCGTGCAAACTCGCAGTTGCTCCACTTCTCTGACTACTCTGCTCTTTGTAGGACAATATCGCTAGTCCGTGAATGAACACTTGCCCCCACCTCTCTCGTTTTCTCTCTCTCACTTGCCAAGACTATATGTAGGTTTAAGTTTAAAAATTGATTAAAAAATTTTAGTTTAAAAATTGATTTTGTTTGTTCCTACTTTTATATTCTATATTTAATATTATATTTCTTCTTGAGGTGATTAAATAAAAATATTATGTCGCAAATTTTTATTTGAGTTTTGATACGACATCAAAAAATTATGAAATTATCTTGATCGGGCACGAATCTCAATTCAAAATCAAGTTGGAAACTTCCGAAATTAAAATTGGGACCATTCGAATTCCGATTTCAACAAACTTACAATAAAATTGAACGTCTTGAGAATACAAACCCAACGACACCAAATCCAACTCAATCTGAGCCCAAATGGGTCCAAATCAATGGTTAGAAGCAATGTTGGAAGGTTCGAACCACAATTTAGATTACCAAACATTTTCCAAACATAACATGCTTATAGTCCAATCGAGCGGCTTGACGAGACAAATCCAACGAGCCTAAGATCACCAAATTCCAAAAACACTAAGATATTCAAATGTTCATCAAATGGCCCATGATTAGGGGATTTAACATCAGCTGTCCATCCAACCACTTATCATTTTCCCTTGATCTCCCACATACTTATGGGTTATGTCACTTCAAAAATTTATAAATAGAACCCCCATTTCTCTTGAAAATGGACTCCAAGCCAAAGGATTTGAGAGAGAGATCGAATATCGCTCTTGCCTCCTTGGTCCTCCTCAACCACCGCAGGACCACCTCCTGACGTCGTTGCTTCATCGAACCATCACTTGAGGCCCTCACCTCCGCCATACCACCACTTGAGGCCCTCACCTCCGCCGAACAACCACTTGAGGCCCTCACCTAAACTGGACTACCACCAGACGCCAGCTCTGCCGGACCATCACTTGAAGACCCAGAGTTCCGCCGGACCACTACTTGAGGCACGAACTTTCACCAGACCGCCACCTGAGGCCCGGACTTCTGTTGGACCACCACGTCAGGCCCATAGTTCCGTCGGACCACCAACTAATGCCTGGATTTTCAAGTAACACCAAACTTCTGCTAGTCCACCAAGTGACGATGTACTTTCATCCCCGTTTGTCAGTAGATTTCAACCAAACGGTTGACATTTGTAATCTGATCGCCCTCAGAGACAAGTTAACCTATTGTAATATACCCAAACACTAGTGAAATCATTTCAGACTGGGCCAGTCCCCGTGGTTTTTCCCCTTTCCAATTTTTTCCACGTAAAAATGTCTTGTGTCTCTGTGTGTGAGCTGGATATTCGTACAACGTTAAGACGCAATATTTTAACTCTATCGCCATGTATATTCTACCCCGCAACAAGTTTAAATAGTTTTAAGTTCTAAGATTTTTAAGTAAAACTTTTTGTGCACTTTGAGTTTAGTTGAGTGATTTTCCATTTTTTTTTTCTCTTTAAGAATACTATTTTTATATTTGATACGGCATCACAAAATTATCTTGATCGGGCACGAATCTCGAGGCAAAAACTGGTTGGAACTTCAAAAAATTAATTTTGGAAGCACCCAAACTCTGATTTCAGCGATCTTATATTCAAACTGAGCGTATCGGAAATACAAACCCAACGACACCAAGATCAACCCAATCCGAGCCCAAATGAGTCCGAAACAAGGATTCAAAGCGCTATTGGAAGATTCAAACTGCAATTTGAGTTACCAAACGGTCTCCGATTTTGACGAACTTATATTCGAATCGAACGGCTCAACGAGACAAATCCAACGAGCCCAAGATCGTCAAATTCCGACATCATTAAGGCCTTCAAATGACCAACAAACGGTGCATGATCAAAGGATTCGATATCGGCCGTCCATTCAAACCACTCCCAATTCGCCCTTGATCTCACGCCTATTTACGGGCTATGCCACTCCATAAAAACTATAAATAGAGCCCTCATTCTACACCAAGGGGAATCAAGTGAAGAGAGAGAAGAAGAAGATGAGAAAGGGGAAAAGGAGATTCCTCACCTCCTCGGCCACCGCCGGAGCTCTTCCTGCCGCCGGAACTCTGCTGAATTTTCGGGAAACGTCAGGAATTCTCAGAACTTTGTAAACTTCATGCGAGAAACAAATTGTATTCTAATTATCCCAACTTGTGGGACGAATCAGCCATTTGTAATTGTGGACCTCCGAAGGAGCACCGCTCGTGGGGGTTCGAACGCAGAGGGTACGGCCGCACTATCCCTGTGGGAAAAAACGATCGCAGACCTCTATACTCGACACAAACAGGTCGATGGGAGGGCAGATTGGATCGCGCATACGACTTTG